CACCACTGGGAGCAACATCCAGACATGACCTAGCACTTTTAAAGAGCCTGGTCTTAGGGAATAAAATTGCCTGGGTGGGACTTTGGGGCTGTATCCCTCAAAAAGGAGTCACTGTATTCCATCTGTAGAAAGAAGAGTGAGCAAGCACTTTTTAAATGTGTGTGGTTTAAAAATTTTTTAACTTATTGATTTGAGATACATTGATTTGTTTTTTGTTTTACTTATTTGTGCATTCATTGGTTGCTTCTTTGTATGTGCCCTGACCAATGAGCAAACCTGTAACTTTGGCATATCAGGTCAACACTCCAACCAACTGACCTACCTGGCCAGGGTGGTGAGTATTTAGTGACTAGAGGGTGCATTTGTGAGAGACTTCTGGTGCATTCACACACCCCATTCATTTTTTTCTGAACCCACGGGAGACATGCTCTTTCCTACCCATCCTGCCCATCCCTACTTGCAATTAGGCAGGGACATGTGACCACTTCTGAGCAATAGGTTGTGAATGATACATCTAATGTAAATTTATTTATTTATTTTTAAAGAATTTATTTATCTTTAGAAGGGAAGAGAAGGAGAGAGGGAGAGAAATATTAATGTATGGTTGCCTCTTGTGCATCCCCTGCTGGGAACTGGCCTGCAACCCAGGCATGTGCCCTGACTGGGAATCTAATCGTGATTCTTTGGTTTGAAGGCCGACGCTCAATCCACTGAGCTAAGTCATCCAGGCTAATATGAAGAATTTAATTGCTGGTGAAAGACATTTTAAGGCTCATTTTTCCTGCCATAGTGGGGAGGCCTAGTAATCAGCCTGGATTACAGAGTCATCAGTTGGAAAACATTTAGTTGCCTGTACAGATAGCCAAGACTCACAGTGGACTCTGGGTAAGAAAGAGGTAAAATTTTGTTGTGTTAAGTCACTGGGATGTGGAGTTATTTGCTCCTGTGTCATAGCCAGCTTTATCTATATACAAATGGGAATGCAAACATTTTGGGTATTTCTGCTTTAGTGCAACTTTAAAATTATATGAAAATGGTCTTCAGGGGATTCATGAACTTCTGAAATTACATACAAAAATCTGGTGCATATATTTTTCTGAGAATTTTCATTCCCATCTTCTATACTGCCATTAGCAAAAGAGGGCCTGAAAATTAAAACCCTCCTCTTTCCCCAAAACTGATAGCTTCCCTTTGGGACTAGTAGGACCTCAAGTCCCATATGGCTCTGTAGGTAATGTTGCTTGACTTTCTTCCGTATCATTTGCCATTTGATTACCTTTTCCTTACTCTTTTAAAAAAATCTTTAAAAATTGATTTTTAGAGAGAGGAGGAGGGGGGGGCAGAAACATTGATCAGTTGCCTCTGGTACATATCCCAACTGCAGACTGAATCTGCAACTTAGCCATGTGCCCTGACCAGGAATCAAACCCACAATCTTTTCGTTTATGGGACAAAGCTCCAACCAACTGAAACACCCAGCCAGGGCTCCTTGCTTTTCACTTCTTACATTGCTTATTTCCTTATTTCTCAGAGAGAGCTCTGTTTCCTGTGTTCAGTGCTGCATCCCCAATGCCTGCCACAGAGCAGATATGCAATAAATGCGTATTAATTATTGAACAAATTGAAAATAGGCTATAACTTTCATCATAGTCTCAAATAGTTACACGACCCAAAAAAGGTTAAATATAAACACAGACAAAATATTACCTAATGAATTATTCTGACTAAATACTCAAACATTTTGAGAAACGTTATGAAAGGATGAAGACTTACCGATGGTACATACTGAAACATGAGTAAAAGTGGCCTGTTATAAGATATTTAATTCTAAAACAATGTATTTCTAAAATATAAAGAGTATTTTGAATATAGCTAAGTAAGTAAATACTGTGTTGATAGATAAAATATTCTGTCAATAATGCACACTAAAAAAACTCCAGGACCAATCTTAAAACAAAGTAAATGAGGATTTAATATTTATTATGCATGTTTATACAGGGATATCAAAATAATGCTCGATAAGTTAATTAGCTATTTTCTAAAAACACTGCCAAAAAAAGTAAAGATAAAACAGTAGGAATGATGTATTATCCAATGTTACTCAGAATTAAAAATATAATTATCTTTTAAACAGATTTGAATCGATGAATTTTACATTAACCAAAACATTTTAAATATCTAAAAATAGTCTTTCTTTATGCATTGTATAATATATAAATGCTCAATTTTATTGCACATAATATATTTGGTTTAAGCTTATTTATCATGTAACATGCAGATAAATTATGAATATAAATCTAGGACAACTTGGCAGGACGTTATTGTATACTACAAAAATTAGATGAAGGTGATACATTTCACAGCTTAATCTTCAAGGAATCTTATTGAGCTACTGTATAAAAATCACTGAGTAAAATCACATGCGAGCAAAGAGCTATTAAATATTATATTGCAAAATAGCTCTGTTGGCACATTTAAAATAAGAAAACAGGTATCAAATAACTGCTCTGATAACCAACACCAAACAACACTCTCCTTGGCCACCCAAAAATGTGGTCTTCACATCAAGTTTAAAAACATTAAATGACAAAATTGTAAATATAAACATATACTTGGTTATGTCAAAAATATTTACATAATTGGCACATAATCAAAATTTTATCATTTTAAATATGGAAAAACTAGGGGAAACTGGGATCAGACATACCGTCTAAACCAGTTTTGAAATAAAGCTAGTGAAACTGCTTTGCATTACTTTTGAAACCATTTGGCCAAACACCATGGTCAGTCTTTTGAGGACCTGTAAACACGCTCTTTTATTTGTACTGTTTCCTGAGGTCATCTGGAAACTACAGTTATTATAGCAGCTCCACAATTTTGTACCCCTGAAAATGTACTTTGGAAATATTCAAAATAAAAACAAAAATTTAAATGCAGATCCATGTGTAACTTAACATACTTTCTCCATTTACAAAGCTATCATTCGAAAATTCTTAGGTTTCAAAGTAAAATTTATTCCATTATCAACAAACCTGGAAAGCCATTCATAAATCCTAGGTCATAAAAAGATTTTAGAATTATCTCATTTAACATTATGGAAATGAAAAATGAAAGTAATTTTTATTTGTATGTTACTTATGGGATAATGTCTAACACTTACCTAAGCCTCTTCATTTCGAACATGTTAAATAATGTCAGCACGGTGCCTGTCTGACAGCAGATATACATAATGAATAAATGGGAAGTTCCAGCATAAAAACTACTGCAGTGCTTCAGTACGGATGCAATGTTCTGAAGCTATAGTGTATCACTCACTTAATGAAAAAGCTGTCTGGTACTCAGAATAAAGCTTTAAATATCTCCTGTTTGAGGAGCACAGCACTGATGCATTTCCTGGCATCCAGTCAGTAAAATGAGGAACTAGGCACTTTCTTTGATTCTAGCCCTTAACTATCACTTATCATCTCTGACTTTTTTAAAAAAATTTATTTATTTATCTTTAGAGGGGAAGGGGGGAAGGAGAGAGGGAGAGAAACATCAATGTATGGTTGCCTTCGTGCACCCCCTGCTGGGAACTGGCCTGCAGGGAACCAGCCTGCAACCCAGGCATGTGCCCTGACTGGGAATCGAACCGCGATTATCTGGCTCGCAGGCCCATGCTCAATCCACTGAGCTACACCAGCCAGGTCATCTCTGACTTTAAGCGTGTAAGCGATAAGCCAAAAGGCAACAGAAGAGAATGCTCTTGTTTCCCTTTCTTTTTCTCTCTCTCCCTGCTTCCCTCTCTTTCTCTTTCTACTATCAATGATAAAAGGAGCAGGTAACCATTCAGTGAAAAATACATGCCTCTTAATAGCATTCTTTCTAGGAGAAAAAAGAGGTGACAATATTTACATTTGGGGTAGTGAATGGTAATTGTCATTACCAAGATGTCTGACTTGAATAAAGACATTTAGTACTTCTCAAAAAAAAAAAAAATCACTACTCTGGTACTGAAATCTTCAATGTTAATGAATTACAATTAAACAGACATACTAATTTAAACACTATTTAAACTACCTTTTACAGGACAAACAACCTGAGTTTGCAGATTAATCTATATTTCTCCATCATTTCACTGTTAAAAATCAAGAAAATTACTACTACTAAAATTGCAACAGCTTAAAAATAGAATTTGTGCCATGACATTTTTCAGTTGTTCATTTTGTATATTACCATCTTTAACAATAATCACAATTCCATTCATCCATATATCAAAAGGCAGCACTAGTAACCTTGATAATGTTATGTATAACCAGAGTCTTCATTAAATACTTCTGCAATTTCCTCCAGCCTCTATTCATATTCTTCCTTCCCAAGAAAAGAGTTAATTAGAACTAAGCACTTAACCTAGCACCTGCCTGTACATAGTACCTTCATTAGTACTAATGATTAGGATGCTTTGATTCAGTAAAGTGATACCAAGGTAGCGATTATTTTTAAAATTTAAGCCCAACTAACAGTAATGTTTTTCTGCCAAGCTTTAACAGCTTAACAATTTGCATTCTAGAGGGAAACTATCATACCTTTGCTATTATTTATTTAAAAAGAAAATCACAAATGCCAACTTCATAACCCATTAAAAGCTAAACTCACTTGAACTTATTAATGATACTTGTTGAATACAAAGGGGTTGCAAAACCCTAAAACTGTGAATTAATATAATATTTACTGATTTACAGCACTAAAAATGTATTAGACTTTTTTGTTAAATATAAGAAAAATATAATCATCTATTACTGACAAATTTAATTTGGTAATTTAAAGTTATCCTATGGTTTCATATGGATTAATAACTTCTATTTATCAATTCTGCATGTTAGAATTATCTATAATTATAGTTTGACCTTGGCTAATTATTTGCAAATTATCCTCAACTCTACCATGAATAGGTTACATGTATTTTTCTATGTCTCAAAACTTCAAAGCGATAAGCTAATCAATATATTATTTGTAAATCCATATGACTGAAGTTATATTGATACCTTTTTATATGGCTGAATCATACAAAACAAGACAAAGTCACCATGCCAGTTGTGCAAGGACATGTGTTAACAACGTTCCCCACACAACAGCATACATATAACCACCAGATAGTCCTGAGATGATTTTAAGTGAACTAATACATGAACAACTTTTCTTTAATAGTTACATATTACTTTAAGGTTTATTATAAAAAATACAACTAGCACATAAAATGTGGAATATGCTCAAAGTAGGGCTACAGTTAAAAAAAGTAAAGCTAAAAAATAAGGTCAAAACTTTTAAGTAAATAATGGTGTGGTAGATACATATATATGAGAAAGGTGGTGTGTGACTCACATTTGGGTAACACCATTTAAGGAAGGATCTGATTTAGCCAACATCATTTCTGAATGCTTATAATAATAATAATCCACACCATAAAGGCATTTCTTCTACTACTGTAAATTCTACTTTTGTTCTGGGACAAACAACTTTTTAAACGTGTTTACATTTATTTTAAAAATATATACTTGAAAGCATTGACTAAATTTAATTTACTTTAAGAGGATTCACCAAAAAGGTAAAAACGTTCAGGAGCATTTGAGGGACATGCTGTTCCTACAGAAGAGGACAGACTACAAAGGCACATTGCATGTTATGGTTATCATTGCAGCATTTAAATAAACGTGATCTAAATAATCGTTACCCTCAATAATTAATAAAATAATTAAAATATTCTCTCATAAAAAAGAAGGTATGCTTGTGCACTAAGTGCTCGTGATTCTGGAACCACCTGCACATGAGTGTCACTGACATGGACCCATTGGCCTGCCAATTCACTATCCGGTTCTTTCAAACCTGAAAAAAACAAATAAAACAAAAGGGTCATGTTACAATAAATATGTTCTTACTCTGTATTACAAGCAACCACATATTCACCACAAACTATATTTATCTAATGCTAGATCTTATCATGTAAGTGTTTCTTCCTGTTTCTTCTAAAATGAACTAACTCTTCCAAAGCATTGACATTACTATCATTTTATTTTAGAAGTCTAGTGAAATATTACATAGTCTTGTGAATAGTATTATTTGAGGAAAATAATTTTCACTAAAACAGAACAGAAAAACAAAGCTAGTTGGCAGATCCATAAGCAAAGTCAGCAAACTTTCAATTTCAACTCTATTCTGCGGTCCTGATATGTCTTCAAAAACTTTTGTTAAATAAAATGCCACTGGCACTGCCACACATGATGACTCAACACCCTGAAAAACTGTGTCACTTCACATCAACTCCCAGGCTACAGTCTTATATTTAAGATTATTTCAGATTATCTAGTACTCAAACATATTATTCACTTAACATAAACAAAGTGAATGCACTTGAATTATTCATGAAATAGCTTACCTCTTTCTGAAAAGGAAGAATAAATTCACTTGTTTTTTAAGAATAAAATAAACTTAGGATAACATACCAGGTACACTTTTCTTTCCAGTGATACGTTCCCATAATTTCCTGGAAGGTGTTCTCACTTTCACGTATGCAGTGTAGTGACCTCCTCTCATTGAGCCACTGTGTTCCACTATGCCATACAGACCATAGAGAACTTCCTCTCCTATATGTACATTCTTTAGGCAAAAAAGTAATACACAGTGAGATATTATTGTAAGGAAAATTAAGTCAAATGTACATGCTACTTAATATAAGAGAATAACATATTAAAAATTTTCCATACATATTAGCCTGGTAAAATGCAAATGCTTAACAACATCCTCTGTTGACGGGCTGTGGGAAAAAGGTATTCACACACACCAGAGGTGGGAATGCAAAGGAGTACAAACTGCAAAAGGGGTGCATTCTCTATCCTGGAATATTTAATGTTATCAAGCTAAATTACATATGCATTACTCTTAGACTTATCAATACTATTTCTAGGATTCTATCTTATAAGCATATAGCAAAATGAAAAAATATATGCATCACACTACTAATTGCACAATTGTTTATACTATCAAAAAATTAGAATAGGCTCAAATGCCCATAAATTGAAGACTAGTTGAATAAACTCTGGTGCATCCATACTACAGAGTATCACACTGCTTGAAAAATGGACTGCAGGCTATCTTTAGATACTGCTTTGAAATAATCTTCAGGATATAACAGTAAGAAAAAGGTAGAAATAAAGGATACATATTGTAAGCTATGATTATTTAAGAGGAGAAATCCATATACACATAACTACCTTCTTATATTTTTGAAAAAACTAGTAGAAGAATAAACCATGAATTTTTAACAATATTTATCTATAAAAGGAGGGAAGAAACAGGAGAAAAGCTACACTTGTTTGAATTAAATTTGCTTTGTACATTTGATACATTTGACTTTGGGACTTTGTAAATACTTTATACAACTATTAAACAAAATTTGAATTATTTCAATTTAAAAAATAGTCCCTAAAAAATCAAAATTAAAAAAATTAAGTAACTGAAGAATATGTCCAGTTAGTGGCATAATCAATCATTCAGAGAGGTCAGTCAGGTCAAAAAACCCAGAAACCAACTTAAGTGGCTTTCAGTAGCCAACGATATAGATCCATTAGACAAATATGCCAGTGCATGAATAAAAAAAGAGTGTAGTAAATTGAAACATATCTAATGTGTTTAAATGCATGAATTCATAATCATAAATTAATTAGTCACAGTTCAAGGATGCTAGTGAACCAATTCATTATTCTGCAAACTGGTTTAAAAGGAGGGTAGGGAAAGAATTAAGCATTTACCCTCTCTTTTTTTTCTTTCTTTTGATTTTATTTATTTATTTATTTTTATTTATTTATTTATTCTTTAGAGAGGGAGAGAAACATCAACGTGTAAGAGATACATTGATTGGTTTCCTCACGCATGCCCCCAACTGAGGACCTGGCCCACAAACCAGGCATGTGCCCAGACTAAGAATCGAACTGGTGACCTTTTGGTTCACAGGCCAGCACTCAATCCACTGAGCCTCACCAGCCAGGGCTATCCTCTCTTTGATAACAACTATAACTATACCATAAGATAACTAGACAGATGAAAAGAGTATCTCTCTCTTTTTTTTAAGAGTATCTCTTTATATAGAAGTTTTCTAGCTAATACGTGAAGGAATGACAGAATAAGAATATCACCATTTTGCAATTCTTAATGAACTCATAAATATAACATTGCATCATTGGTTGCTATTATAAAAAGATAATCAGAATTTTGTGCCACCTGATTAAACATTCCCTATGAAACAGCCTTGCCAGGAAAAAGTAATAAAATAAATAAGGAACATCAAACCTAAATCTGTTCAAGCCTTTCCAGATCCAACTATCCAGCTACCTATTTATAGTAAATAAAGAGGACATTGGAATAATCATCGAAATCTAAATTGGGGAAACTACTGTAAAGATGGCCCAGTTTCTTCAACAAATAATTTGCAAGGAAGGAATTGAAGGGGAGAGAGAAGGGAGATGTTAACTGTATATTAAAAGAGACTAAAGACATTATCCAATTACAATGTGTAGTTCTTCCTTGGATATGAATTCATTTATGATATAATTAGAAATACATGCACTAAATGATGTGATATTTGTCTATTTGCTTTAGTGTTGATAGTAGTATTGTGGTTATGTAAAAATGTGAGAAGTGATTCTTATCTTTTAGAGATACATAGTGAAATATTATGAACGAAATGATGCTTCAGTCCTGGCAGGGTTGCTCAGTTGGTTGGAGCGTCATCCTTGTACACCAAAAGGTTACGGTTTGATTCCCAGTCAGGAAACACACCTAGGTTGTACATTTGATCCCCAGTCGGGGGCTTGTACAGGAAGACAACTGATTAATATTTCTCTCTCACATCCATGTTTCTCCCTGCCTTTCTCTAAAGTCAATGAACATATCCTTGGGTGAGGATTAAAACAGTAATACTGACAGTGATAGTGACAGTAATAGTGACAGTGATAATACAGGAGGAGTCGGCATGAGCATGTGGATGGGGCAGGACTGGCCCATGTATCTAAGGATTTAGGGCCAGGCAGTGGCTGCTGGAGGTTCACTGTGTGGTTCTGTGTATGTTTGTGTATGTTGGAAATTCTCTAAAATAGGTACTTTTAAACAATGTTTTCATAAATTTAATATAGAGCTTGTTAAATTTCATTTTATTTACCACACTATCAAATTCCATGAACCTTAATGTTAATAATTGACAGATAGTGCTGGTGTTCCACATACGAACTATATTCACCAAAAAATTGCATTTAAGATAATTTTGTTTTCATTGATCACTATATTAAAAACATTAAATTCAGTAAGCACTCTCCTACATGCCACAACGCCTGGACTGCTAACCAGCAATCATGAACAGGACAAGGTGTTGCCCAGAACTGTTCGGTTCCCTTCAGGAAGTCAAAGTTATCTATTTCACCGGCACAGTTCCGACATGTAAATACAAACAATTATAAACCAGTCTGTTTTCTATATCTAATTTTTAAGGTTTTAGTAATCTCAAAGTACCATACTCATCTGACAAGTACACTATTCTCAATAGTGTACCTGAAATGGCATAAAAAACAATGTATTAGTTGACTGATTTGCAAAAGATAAAGAACTCCACAAATGCTAAAACTACTGCCATGTAAGCATATCAACCACAAGAACCAGAAGAGGACACACAGTCTGCTTACTTTTCCCAGCAGTGGTCTGCTTCTGGTAGCATGTACAAGTGGCTTTAATCTTCATGACCTCTAGGTCTCATGCTTTATGCATTTTTTGACTTTCCCTTAATCTATCTCCCAAAAGACAAGTCATATTCAGTGCATTAAATGCTCCACATTTTAGCGATTTACCTTCACTAACTATAAAATTCCCTTTCAGAGGAGCTTATTTTTTAAAAAAAGAAAAGCATGGCATAACAAACAATCATTGGGTACCATAAGCATATTATTTGCAAGTTAATTAAGCATTTTAATAATATACTATACCTTACAAGTAGCGGAACAGAATGGTGCTAAATCAAGCACAAGTGGAAAATCTACATGTCTGTTTACCTTTCGAAGACTCAATCCAGCCTAAGAAAGACCAAAAAAAAATGTTTTAATCCAACAAACCCAATCTAAATCATTGTTTATTAATTAAAACTAAAAGAGGAATCCTAGAAGTTTGGTTTTTTCACAGATATAAAAACATGATTAATGAATAGTTCAAAACTGATATATGACTAAGTTTTTAATTAAGTTCCATAAACGGTTACAGCAAATATCATTTATTTACATGTGCATTTTTACCACAAACAATATGGGAATAATGACTTTCACTATGGCTTTCAACAGTTAGGGAAAAGTAAATTCAATGAAGTACAAGCTAAGGTGCTGATACACATGCTGTCATAAACAGATACTGAACTGGAGTCAGGGCCTGGTGGCCTAGGCCTCACTCAGTGACTGGCTAACCCCCAATGACTACATACTACCTCATCTAGATCAAGGCAGAAAATGGGTATACGTGGATTAGATTAGATCCTTCTCAGTTCTAAAATTCAGTAGTATTCATTTATTAAAATAAAAAGCCAGAATTTGAATACTCAAATCATTTTATCAATAAATGTTATGTATTATATACCGTATTTTTTGGACTATGAGACATACTCCCCCCAAATTTGGGAGGAAAGGGTGTATGTCATAGTCTGAATGTAGCTTACCTGGCTCACTGTGGGGGCGGGGCAGCAGTGGAGCGGGGTCACAGGAGGCAGGAGCAGGGTTGCCACTGCATTTTCCTCCCAAATTGGGGGCATGGGGCGGGGAGTACATCTCGTAGTCGGAAAAATAAACCAAAATGAACCCTGTCCTGACTGGTTTGCCTCAGTGGGTTGGGTGTTGTCCCGCAAAATAAAAGGTCACTGGTTCGATTTCTGGTCAGGACACATGCCAGGGTGGTGGGCCAGGTCCCTAGTGGTCTGGGGCATGCAAGAGGCAACTGACTGATGTTTCTCTTGCACATCAATGTTTCTCTCTTTCTTTCTTTCTCCCTCCTTTCCCCTCCCTCGACAAGTAAATAAATATTTTTTTAAAAAATGAACCTTCATATCCTTAAGTAAGCTATACTTCTTTATGGTTAATTTCCAAGGGCAAAACTTGAAAAATGTACACTTTGCAATATTTAATAATAGTTAAAAACTAGTTGATAGACTGCCAAAGGTATTAAGTAGGAAACCCACAAATAGAAACTCTACTGGAATCAGAAGATCCTTAATCTGAATTATTTGTGTAGACAAAAACTAACAGATATAACCTTTCATGCAAGGCTTTCATGACTTACTTGAAGGACATAATTTTACTATGAATCTGTTGCCTTGTTCTTACCTTTCTTTAAAGGAAGAAAAGCTTATTTTTGACCAAAATATACCCACTTATTTGTTTCTTCAAATGATGTTTACAGGACTTAACATAGTATCTGACATGAAATTATGAGGTCATACCTGAGGAGTAATTACGTAGTCTGTATTCAGTTTGCTTTCCCTGTTTGTTCTCATCAGGTCATCTCTATAAGCACCCAATACCAGCACTGTCTACAAACCTTGCACTGTCTACAAACCTTGCAGGCTAATGCATCCTTTCCCCAGATATTATTTTGTGGTTCAGAAACTACTCCATAATAGGAAAAAATTTGTAAAGGGCTTTAATACATGACAAATCTCTTTATCTTTTCTTTTTTAAAATAATTTTAAGTATATATTTTTATTTAGTTTTATTATTTTTATCTGTATCCAAAGACATGCTTATTGATTTTAGAGAGAATGGATTAAGCGGGAGATGGAAAGAAACATTGACGTGAGAGAGAAATGTTGATTAGTTACCTTTGTATGCCTTTTGGTAATTTGTTTCATACAATTAAAACAGTTTATCTAAAGATAGTATTGGTATATAGTACAAAGGGTAGCTATAAACTTTAATCTCCTCCAATTGTTATTTTTCTTCCTTAAGTCCTTTACTGAATAATACAGCCCCTTTCCCAACTGATTTCAGATGGCTTAATTATTATAACAAAAGAGCTTTAAATTATACTTCATGTTTTACTTGACAATTCTGACCACACTGTTTTACTGATTCGAATTTTATTTTAAAACAGGCATTCTAAAAATTTTTCTTCTAACTTTTGCAAAAATGTGTTATTTTCACTTACTCATTCTTCCAGAAAAATGCTAAAATCATTTTATCAAATACAAAATAAAAAAGGTGAGATAATGCATTGAATTAAAAACATAAAAATTCAAGAAAAACCTGATATGTTAAAAATATTTCAGTCCCTCCCACTGCAGAGTCCTACAGGGAAGGAGCCTGCCTTGCAGTCCTTTTCCACCCAGCCCTCCTTGGCCACGCCCAGCCCTCACAGGCCCCCCACGCTGGGATCTCAGAAAGCTACATGCACTTTGCTATTCTTCTACTTCTAAACATTTTTTTTATTTTTGTTAAGGGTCCTTAAGAATTCTTATTTTCCATTGACACATGCTAACAAACACCCACCATTTGGGTTCCTACCACCCAAATCTTCAAACACTGTGAATGAAACAATTTTAATTAGAAAAGTCTTTTAAACTATAATGGCTGAAAAGTAGTAAATTCTATATGACAAGTTTTTAAATTCAATAAATGAGTGCCTAATCTTTGAAAGTATTTTGTAAGACTTAGGGCTCTACAAAACATCTGATGAAAATTACAGTAGTGTTACTAAAGGGGCTTTTACCTGATGGAATCTTTTAAGATGGAGTATTAGGATAACTGGAACAGCAGATATGAGCAACTGCTTTCTGGCATTAGTATAAATCCCCTCTGCTTTCTTTTCTGCATAAAATGTAATGAATTTATTTGTAAGATTACATTTTATCTACCATATAATATAGTCAACATTTATATAGAAGCACTATGTCACATTTTTATAATATTAAAAAAGAAATTAGAATGAATGATTGATATATGTAACAGTATGAGTGAATCTGAAGACGTTATGCTAAGTGGCAAAGAAGCCAGAGACAAAAGGCTATGTATTACACGATTCCATTTACATGATATGCTGGAGAAGGCAAAACCGTAGGGAAGAGAATGAGATTAGTAAATGCAGGGACTAAGCAATGGGAGAGGGAATTAACTGCAAAGGAGCACAAGGAAACATTTTGGGGCACTGGAAATGTTCTATATCTTGATGGTAGTTACAGGACTATATATGTTATCAAAACTTATTAAACTGTACACATGAATTTTATGGAATACAAATTATATACTACATACAAATTCTGTTGTGTGCAAATTCAGTAAACTAGATTTTTTTAAAAAGGAAATAAAAAAGAAAGTGTCCCTCGCTGGTGTAGCTCAGTGGATTGGGAGTGGGCCTGTGAACCAAAGGGTCACTGGTTTGATACCCAATCAGGGCACATGCCTGGATTGCGGGCCAGGTCCCCAGTAGGGGGCGTGCTAGAGACAACAACACATTGATGTTTCTCTCCCTCTCTTTCTTGTTCCCCTCTCTCTAAAAATAAATAAATAAAGTATTTTTAAAAAGAAAGTACACTTCTGGTTACAGGATGCCTCTACTCTTTCCAAAACCACTAAACTGAAATTTTTAAAGGTGCATACACACACAAAAGATTGGTGCAATGACACTCACAACACAATTTTGGAAGCTGAAAAGGAGATGGACTAGTAGTGACTTAGGAATACCCTCCAGCCAAAGACCACCAGAAACACACCTGTAGTTGATGAAATTGGCTCAGTATTTATTGCAGTGAAGGGAGAGCTTGTATCATGGAAACTATGGAGGATTTCAGGAAGAGGTTGTTAGAAAGGACATGATAGGATTTGAATGTGACCGAGTACATATTTAACTTGGATTCATATAAATTGTTATTTCTTCTCTGATTTAGACATTTCCTTAATCACTACTTTATTAAGTGTCTCTTTGTTCTGATGCTTGGACAACTTACGTGTGCCTTTCGTAGGCAAACCAACCAATTCAAAACCCATACCCCAACTACCTTCTTTACTGAGGTCTTAAACTCTAGGCCACTATCCACCTGCTCTAATCACATGTTATTCAAGTACCAGACAACTACAGACAGCTCCGATAGCCCAGAGCCCATTGAAATTATTCAAAACTAGTCAGTCTGAAACCTGTTCACCCTGCCTTATCCATTCCTGCCCTTGGAAACCACAATAAAGGCTCTTGTCCTAGTTTCCCCTCTGGTTGCCTCTGCTCCAGATCAACCCTGGTGACTCCCCATGTGCCCCTCTTTTGGGGAACTATAAGTAACAAAATATCTTCAGTGGCAGCTGTATCCTGATCTGTTGGCCTCACCATCCCTGAATGATAATAAAATTTGTATTTTGAAAAACTAGTCACTAGGAATCTGAGTATTCTCCACATTTAATCAAGGCTAGAGGTGCACTGAAAATTTCTTACTTGGTAAGTTTTCTTTTTTCCATTTTTTCTAGTCAATTATACAGTTATTATGTTGCTAGCTTGATAATATGCAATTATGTAAAACCTTCAAATGTATATATTATTACTAGACTTAATACTAGATTGATGAGATTTGTGAAGCACATTAATATTATCATTAACCTCACTAATGATAAAATTTTAAGTTTTAGAATTTCTTCTGAGAAGATCTGAGATAGCTGGTCTCCTGAGATAAAATTATGTGGATTTACATTTTCAGGGCAGAGATGGATACTTCCTGTTTTCCAATTAATTTCAACAAAATTCTATTGACCAGTCAGTGTCTTCAGTGTTGAGTTACGAACAGGTATACAAAAAAGGCAATCCCCGCCTCCACGCAGCTCAAGTTTAGAGACAAAATGCTTAGCTTCCTCTCTTTGGGATCTAATGCCAACTAGTCACTATTTGATAATCCATGAATACAAAACAAAAAGCTAAATATTTACCTGCAGAACTGGTTTCCCTTTGGCACTTCTGTTTCTTTTCAGTACAGTTCTCACAAAGAAGCTTGTTATTCCCCATTAATAATTCCATAGATGTAAACTGGTAGAGACAAGACTGAACTGAACATTCTTTAGAAGTAGTTACATAGCTCTGAGAAAGGGTCTGAAAAGCATTTTGGGGACTGGGAGACATCATACGTCTCCCCTCTGAAAAATATAAATTATCTGCAAGAATTAGTGGCTGATTTTCCTCATCAAAATCTCTATCTCCAGTTACAGTGCTGCTTAAACGAAGTTCAGAAATAGCTTCAGCCACTCCCTCATCACCACTGTCGGTCTCTTTGGGGGGTGTCTTGCTTGCTGAGGGATGGTGATGCCCATTTGTATGCCCGCAGCAGCCACTACTGGATCTTGGCAACAGGGTCTTCTTGGAAGCACTTTCAGATTCCGAAGCCTCACTGTCAGCATCAACACTACTTTCAGAATGACTGGCTTCTTTTGCACTGCCGTCAGTGGGGTTTTCAGTCAGAGGTGACCCAGTGTTCATGACGCTCACGAGCACTGAAGAATCCCCATTCACTCCAGAGTTTCCATCTTTCCGGTATATGACAACAGCTTTATCTTCTCCGGATGGCAACTTCCTTGTACGTTTTCTGCCATGAATTAGTTGATGCTGTAAGTTGACAGTGTTTTTAGAGAAAAAAATCTTGTGACCTTACTGAAAATAAATGCCAGTACGTCTTACTTAAATGTTCCACAATTATTAAATAAATACTATTTTTAGTACTTCTAAAATCTACTTCCTCAATCTATATAAACTACAACCAATAAAAGATATATAACAAATAGTTCTAACTTAAAAATAAACCTTTACACAGGAAACCAACAACAATTGTTACCCATTTGCAGAGAGAACAGGACTTTTGTGGAACAGTGCTGCGAGGGAGGTGTTTCAAGTGCAAATCTTTGCATAATCTCTGTAGTCTTGCCACTTAAAAAGCCTTCTACATAGTAAATTAGATCTGACAATATATCAATTTGCCAAGTAAGTACAAATAATAGTATGTAAAATAATAGTATGTAAAAAAGTTTTTTAATGAAGTGAAAATTCGGATTTATTTCTTTAAATTCATATGGGATAATTAAAAAACCAGGTGTGCTCCTAGTGAGTAATAATAATGAGCACATATAATAGACATCAATGGCTGGTAACATCACAGAGAGAGACATCAAATGTGGTGTGCACCTCCTCGACAGAAGTATATACCACCACTTAAAAGTGTTCTTGTCAAAAATTAAATCATCAAACCTAAGTCCATTTGGGCATCTATATCTGACTGCCTTAAGGACAAAACAAAGGAGACAAATAGGCACCTATTAACATGTGAATGCAGTAGCAAAATGAATTACTATTGAAGTGAGAATGTGAGGAACTGATTTGAAAAAAAAAAAAAGACCTGATTTCTTCAACAAATAAACTGCAAAGAAAAAAAGGGGAGGTGATTAAAAGACATTTAAGAGACATGGCAATCAACTACATTCTATAGCTCTTTTTTAGATAATGAATTCAAATACACTTTAAAAAGCAAAAACAAAAAGGAAGTATTTATGAGACAACTGTAGAAATTTAAATAATGACTGAATATTGGCAGAATTACAAAGTTAATAATATTTTTAGGTATGATAATGGTACTGTGGTTATGCATTTTAAATGAGTATTTATCTTTCTACCCTGGCCAGGCGGCTCAGTTGGCTGGAGTGTCATCCTGTACACCGATAGGCTGTGGGTCTGATTCCCAGCTGGGTGTGTACAGGAGGCGGCCGATGGATGTATCTCTCTCACGTCCATGTTTCTCTCTTTCTCCCCACCCCCTGCCTCTCTCTCTTAAAAAAAAATAAGTAAAATGTGTCCGTGGGTGAGGATTATTTTAAAAAAATTAAAGAGCATATTTTAGAGATACACATCGATGTATATGATGTACTTGGGATTTATTCCAAAATAATCTGGGGTGTGGAGGGGGAGAATGTGAGATGTAGCTTAAAACACGATTGATTATCCAAGAGCTGATAACTAAGAAACTGAGAAACAGGTGTATGGGAGTTTATTGTACTGTTTTCTCTACTTCTGTATAGTTTTGAAATTTTCCAAAACTTCTGAAAAGTTTGAAAAAGCAGAATACATATACATATAATACATATTATATACATATACAAATATATATAATCTTATACCTCACAAATCTCAAATACATATAATCTTACATTATCTTTAGATGAAGAATGCTTCCTGGTAGTGCTGCACTAATGAATATTTTCTCTAGTAATAACACCACTGTACTGACCATTATCTGTTTTCTGTAAACTTCTATATTTACTCATTCTTCCCCAAAATACAGGTTTTGACACCTATATGAAGGCCATGTACATAACACAAAACTTCTTTAGGAAATAAATTTTGGATATAACCTACTTTTTAAAATTTCTCATTTGAAATATAATTTTCCTAACATTAATTCTCAAGATATAAAGCATAAGGATTTAAATTCCCTGAGAATAATAACTTTATCATACTTTATGCATACATATACAAACCCCAATATTATACTGTACAAACTCAACTAATGTATATAATAAATGACTCAGATATCTGATAATATACTCAACAAATGTCTAAATATATGAATAAATAAATGCCCTTCACAGAAGTCTTAGTAAGTTTTTTTTTCCTTACCCTTTCTTCTATTATAGGAAGTGAAATATCAATAAAAGGATCTTTCATCGTGGAGACCTTAAAAAAAACATATTGGGAACTTCAGGTGGAATTCTAACATAGACAGTGTAGTTTTGTAAGGGCTTAAACAAATCAGACTTCCCAGGCCACTTAAAATTTTAAGTTAAAAAACTTTCCTGGAACCAATAGCCACTTAATGGGGTATAGCAGCACACACATAATCAAAACAAGGTATCCCAAAACTTCAATAAATACAACCCTGTTGAATTTTACCATGTTATCAAATCACAATGTCAGTAATATTCAAAGTAACTTCAAAATAACTATGTTTAATAATAATGATTAAATGAAGACAGAAACATATTTGTGGTAAAATTAGTGCCACAATATAAATAAACTATGAAAAAGCCATGAAAAAAGGCAGAAAGTTTGACTATGTTTTGTAGGATAATTCTGTTTTAAAAGATGCTCTCTAGCTTGAGAGAGAGAAATCAATGTCTATGTGGGATATACTGGAAATTTAAGAACTGTCTCATTGACAGTCTGTGCTTCCACATGACAGGCTAGAAGGAAATACAATACGTAGTCCTGAGTGTATGGGGCTAGAGCAGGTGGAAAGGCACTCCGCTGTCTGGGTCAGGAGAATGTGTATAAAGGCTGTCTTTCATAATAAAATCTGACGAAAGTGTAAACCCATCATACTCTAAGTGTTATGCTTTCAGAAATATTCCTTATCGAGTGGTAGAAAGCCTGTAAAAGTTTATACATCATTAAACTGTTGTTAAAGGACAGATGACATTCCACCACATCACATTAACACTAAATTCAAATATGAGTCAAGTCAACTTACAAAATCAAGAAGTTAGATCACCCTAGGTTGTGTTACTACACTGAATTATTTCTGCTGGAATGAATTTCGGGGCAGCGTGCACAGGTGGGGCAAAGGTGGGCTCACAGTTGTGAGCACTCAAAAGAGTCCGTTCTTGTATTTTTAATGATAGCATTATTTTCACATGACCAATTACAAACCTATTTTGCCCCACCCTGTAGCTACAAAACATAGTTATTCTCATAAGAGACCCTTCTTTTACTTCAATCCAAACAAGTAGTGAACACATTCGAGCACATTCAAATAAGCTGAGAGAACTTCAGGGGTTTCTCAGGAAGAAAAATAAAATAACATTTATTTTTTTAAATTATGAACTATGCTTACTTTCTAGGAGTAAAAGATATATTTTAAGAGGATTTTCACTACTATTATGTAGTCATCTGTCACAAATAAAAATAAATGACTGCTGATAAATATATGTGAAAGAAATAAAACAGCATGACTGTAAGCTAGTCCATGTTGAAGTGAACTTCCAAGTACCTACATTTGCACATTCTTCACACATGACTGTGCTAGTTAATTCACCAATAAAGATCCGATCTACGAAGTTCATTTTCACACCTTCTCTTCCATATGCTGTAAAAATAATACTTTTTAATACAAAAACACATGTCAACCATCAACCTTATAATGTAACATGGCTTTTTCTGTTGACTCAAAAGAAATCCAAGGCAGATGTCCAGTATCACATTTAATAATGTATTTTACCATGTGATATTATGTCTTTCTTCTTTAGAATTCTATCAGAGAAAATGTGACTATCAACTACAGTAGTATTCAAGAAATAACAAACTGCTCTTAAAAGGTAAAATAAGTAGAGCAATAACCGTGATTCATACTATGTCTCAAATGCTCCCATTAAATCCTTTACAGCCTCTGTGCCTAACCCAGAGGTGGAGGGATGGGGAAGGAGGTGTGCCTTTAGGGCTACAGGTGCCAGGACTATAACTATGGAAATGACAGGATAGTAGAGACAAGTAGACACAGCATAGTGTAGCGAAGTAACATGGCAATGAATAACTCACTTATATCCATAACTGTTTAAATGTCAAAATTTTCTGTTTCTTTGAAAATATTTGTAGAGCCAGGGAAGTTATGCCTACGATTTGCTTCAAAATAATTTGGGGTTGGGTAAAAAAATAGATGAAACCTAACATGCCACGAACTGGTTGTAGTAAGTGAGGTGATGGGTACATGATATATGGAGCTTCATATTCTATTCTCTCCACTTTAATACAAGTTTGACATTTTCTGCAGTAAAACAGTGGGGGGAAACATATTAACAAATCTATTTACTCCTGTTTCAAAATTCTATCTTTTGGGGGTCTCTACCTTCTAAAACATTGTATTTTCTACCTTTTAAAAATGTTATTTGAAGCACTGAATGACAGAGCAGACATATCTGGATATATCAATAAACATTTATTAACTATGAGAAATTATGGTAAACTATGATGTTTCATTAAGAAAAATTGCACAAAGGATTAACCATAGAAAAGATTTCCAAACTGGAAAGAAATGAAAAGTAAAACTGGGCAGTTATTCTAAGCATGCACTAGATGGCACTATCTCAAAACAAAAGAGCATGCTTGAAAATCTACATTTAAAAAAATCTTGAACCCATAACTGCATATAAGGTTTCAGCATATATAACCACAATGTATATTTGTTTGTAAATTATAGACATATAGTGTGCACATACAACAAAAGTGCACACTATGGTGTGCACAGAGTGTGTGCTACAACAAAATACAAGTTGGAAAAGAGAATAAACAAAATACAAATAATATTTTTAGTGTCTCCCCAGAATGACTTCATACCACCATTGTTTAATATCTCAAGGCAGAATATACATTTAGGACACAGTAAATCACTAATCGCAATGGAATATAAACCCACACTTAAATGTTTTAAGTGATCAGCTTTGATTAGGTAGTTACTATTTTTGCCTCAGATTTTGGCTGATGAAGAGTTAACACTAGGAGTAAAATAGGCATGTATGCTTGACCTATTAGTACTCTCTTCAATAAATAGTTTCATAGCAGGGATCTTTGGAGCACTTAAGCATTTCGTCCAGTTGGAAAGTCCACTCAAACCCAGCCCACTTCAACTGCAAAATGATAGAATATGATAAGAGTGCATTCCCAAGTAAAGGCTGCTACTTTTAGTAACCTTTCAAGTTTCCCTTAGAATACCTCATATGAGAGCAACAGTGTCAATCTGTATATTTGATATTAGCTTTATTTTTTTAATTCACATGGATAAGTTCTAACATTTTATTTCTATGACCCACTAGACTATCTCACAGCCACTGGAATAAGTATACCTTGATTTTAAGGCAACTGCTTTAGGGCATTCATTCACATAATGCTCAGTTCTTTTTCCTTAAGAAGAACCTTTGGATATTTTCTTACAGAAGAAAGTCTTAACAGTGAGAGAGTCAACATACCTTTGACTTGTTTTCTAGTTTCATCATCAGCAGTTTTAGTTGTTGGGTTGTTAAATGCTTTTAGAATGCCAGCTTGTATTCTCTATAACAAAGTTAATAAGAACTTATTAAGAATCTGTTCTTTCAAAGCAGTATTTTGTGTTCCTTTGAATTGATTCTGGTTTAGTAACAGTTAACTCCAGCCTCATCCTCTTAATAACAGAAGGACTTTCAAACAGCCAAGTATACTGGATGTGACTTCCCTAGTCAGTAAAATAAATTGACTGAAAGTTAAAAAAATTAAATATGTACCTTCTTCCAGTCCTTAAATTCAATAAACGGACAACTTTTTATTTGAGGGAGAATTTGAAATTAGAGTCCAAGTTCTTATGTTTAGGCAGGCAGCCTAGTCTCACTCTTCTTACAGGTGTGAAGTAACTTCTCCCTCCTTCTCCCCTTCCTTCTCCATTGGCCTTTCTCTCCTCACCCTGTATTCCCTGCCCCATCTCCCCCATTCTGTCCCTAAAATGATGTATTCCTTAATCAGGACAAAAAGTCACATAGAGACCATATGAAATTTCTTGTCTATAAAGAAAACCATAATATATAAAAAGCCCTTAAACTGGCCACTATGGCTTCCATAGTAATGTATTTAGTATTTAGTTATGTATTTCATTTATATAAATACATAACTAAAGTCTAGAATATCAATTAATGTCCACAGGAAGAATATCCCAATATTTGAATTTAGCTGTCAATAATGATCATGTCTTTAGTGGCTGTTAGTAAATGACAAGGTTTGTTTTCACACGTCTTGCATATGTTTTAGGAGAGATTCAACCTCACAGAAACCTTTTAGAATAAACTAGAACTACATATTCCAAAAATAAAAACTTATTGAAGCTAATCATCTTTCACAGTAATTATGCCTCCAAGTAATGGATACATTTAATTATCTCTAATTTGCATTTCTAACAGTGGAGTGAAAGGAATGTTTGTTAATTATTCATTAAAATGTTTTTTAAGTAAAGTCTTAATGTGAAACTGTTTGATCTGGACTTCCTGGTGTAAAAATACATAATTTTGTTAAATTATGTTAAAAAGAAACTAAACTCAAACTGCAGACTTCCTAGAGAATAATGAAAACACTATATATCAGAATCTGTGATACTTTCCACTGTTCAGAAGAAAAGTCACAGCCTTAAATATTTACATCAGTTGAAAAGATATAAACAAATAAATTAAGCAGCCTACTTACAAGTTTAGATAAAAAATATTAAAGCTGAACAAAAGTACAAGAAGAGAATTAGTGAAGATAAGCTGATTGTGTGATTGGGGAAAAAAATAAACCCACTAGCTAATCTTAATCAAAATAAGGATAAAATGTCTAACATCGGGAAATTAATCCCAGAAAAGACAGAAAATCTTCCAGGTTCTATTGGAATGAATGGTGGGTGGGGAAGCATCATTAAAGAGCACCTTACAAAAAGCTCCAGGCTCAAACAATTTCACAAAGGAATGCAATGAGTCCTACAGTACAGTTTGACCAAGAGGCTTTTATTCTAGTAAGTGTATCGATATGGTAATATATCATCATATTAATAGATGTAGGAGAAAAAAATTAAAAACCTTCATATTCCTTATTCGCTACTATTAGTTATTAATGTATTAAAGTTCTAGTCATTGCATTTGATAGAAAATAAGTCTCAGAGGTATAAAAATTGTAAAGAAGATAAAATATAATAAAAGTCAGTAGCATTCACACACAGGCAAAAAACTAAAGATATGGAAAAATACCCCACTTACAATAGCAACTAAAAAGATAAAATAAGTAGGCCCTGGCTGGTGTGGCTCAGTGGATTGAGCACTGGCCTGCAAACCAAAGGGTCACCAGTTCGATTCCCAGTCAGGGAACAAGCTTGGGTTACGGGCCAGGTACCCAGTGGGGGGTACACAAGAGGCAACCACACATTGATGTTTCTCTCCCTCTCTTTCTCCCTTTTTCTCCCTCCCTTCCCCTCTCTAAAAATAAATAAATAAAATCTGATAAAAAAAAAAAGAAAGAAAATAAGGGATGCTCTTTTATAACTTTGGCGTGGGAATGCCTTTTTTGCCTTTTTTAACTATGACTCTCAGTATCCAAACACCATAAAACAATTCAAAAACCAAAAAATTTTTAACTTTGTTAAAAAATTGCTTCCACATTATAAGTAAAATCAAAATACAAATGACAAACTTGTAAACATATTCTCTCCTAGTACAAAAAGCTTTTAGAAATCAGCAAAGACTTAAAACCCAGTAGAAAAATGGGCTAAAAAATAGGAGGAGATGAAAAGATATCAAGCCTCATTGAAAAGAAATATACACTAAAACTACCCTGAGATACCATTTTCTACCTAATAGATTGGCAAAAATTAAAAAGTTTGACCAAACAGTCTTTTGGTGAGGTTACGGGAAAACAGATGGACTCCCTTATATGGTATGTTGCTAACAGAAGTGAAAACTGTATGCCTTTGAAGGACAATCTGATCCAGCAATCTCATTTCTGCACTTACATGGATATATCTATGCACATGCAGAATAAAATAAACACATCATTCACCATAGCATTGTTCATAAAGGCAAAAACACTGGAAAAACATATAACGGTTAATCTATAAAAAATTAAAATTTTTAAATGTATTTTATTATGCTACGAAGTTGTCCCGATTTGTTCCCCTTTGCCCTCCTCTGCCCAGTAGCCCCATTCCTTCCAGCAATCCACCTCCCCTTAGTTCATGTCCATGGGTCACGCATATAAGTTCTTTGGCTTCTCCATTTCCTATATTATTCTTAACATTCCCTTGTGTATTCTGTACCACCAATTTGTGCTTCTTAATCCCAGCATCTTTCCCCTCATTCATATAATAATAATGGCTTGGTGATGCTGAACTCCTTTAGAACTCCTTATCTTGTCTGGGAAGCATTTTATCTGCCTTTCCATTCTAAATGATAGCTTTGCTGGATAGACTAATCTCAGTTATGTCCTTGCTTTTCATCACTTTGAATATTTCTTGCCAATCTCTTCAAGACTGCAAAGTTTCTTTTGAGAAATCAGCTAACAGTCTTTTGGAAACTCCTTTGTAGGTAATTATCTTCTTTTCCCTGCACAGCTCAATTTTCTGACAATTCTGGGTGATACTTGTTTTGTAGTGTAGCTGTATTTTTTGCTATAGTTCTGTGCAGGGAGGCAAGGTGTATTTGCCTATGCCTCCATCTTGACTGAAAGTGTGGTTAAACATGATGAGCTTAAAAAAAAGAAGCTTCCAATCTTCTGAGGAGAGATCGCTACAGTATCTCAAGTGAAAAAAGACCAAGTGCAGAAAGATGAATATATAGTATATGTCACCTTTTAAATAAAGAGAAGAAACAATATACATATATACCACCAAATGGGAGCACAAACCAAGAAGGACAACAACATTGCAACAGCAGGGCCAGTTCAGAAGAGAGGCAAAGGGAATTGCCAGGAGCAAGTTAGGAAAAATTCCAGATCGGTAACTGTGCATCAAATGTGGGAGGAAACCAATCCAGACTAGAAAAGTGAGACTTATGAGAAAGACATACTACTAACACCAAGATCCCCCTGTCAGTGTACTATGCTTTTAATCTGAGGATAGACTGTAAGGGGAATAATTACCCTCCAGAATGATTCTTCTTTGACCTATTTCTGAGAGCCAGGAGCAGAAATCACAGAGCAGCTCTGGCCTTTTTGCACCACAGAGCCACTGCACCTGATCTCTGCTGCACCTCTGCTAGTTGCCTTGACTTTGATGCACCTGGCTCAGAATGCATTCATGACTGCCCACTGACTTCCACAGGAAGAGTTCTTGTAAACTCTAGAGAGCCAAAGCCACCTTATGTTCCAGAGATGCTCTCAACTTATCTCCTTTGGGGAAGCTTCATTCAATAATGCCAATAGGTTTGTGCTTGTTACAGTTTTGCAAAACTAAACAATATATTATGTAAACATGTATCAACAGTTTTCAAAACTATTTAAAAAAAGGAATGCAATGATTTCTGTAAAAGTCAAAACAGTGGTTACCCTTAATGAGAAAAAAGTGCTTGGGGGAAAAAGGAACAGCTTCTATAGTACTAATAATTTCCTATTTTTTGAACTCTGGGGGTGGGGGTGAGGAGTGCTATTGGTATTTATATTATGCTTTAAACTGTATGTATATTTGTACACATTCTTCTGTATGTGTGAGCTATTTCATAAGTTTTTAACACCCTCCCCCAATAATTGTAGAACTGAATTTCACTTATTTACTGACCTATCAGCAGCACATATTTCCTAGAACTGCTCACTATTTTCTTCTAGTGTATTTTCAAAGTTAATGCAAAATTCAAAAACTTAAATATATACAAAGGAGGGTATAAATATAAACATATAGTAATCCATACTATGTCACTCTGAAATATATTTATATCTAAAGGTAACCAAAATAATAAAATATGTCCCAGAAGCCAATACTATATTTTGCCATGTATAATGTGCACCCACATTTCTTTGTGTGTTATACATGGGATTATTCTATCCATTATTATACTCATGTATAATGCACATCCTTATTTTTCCCCTCAAAAATTTGGTCAAAAACTTTGCATCATACATGGCAAAATATGATAAATATTAAGATATTCTTCAGTTCAGACTCAATAAATTTGAAAATTGATATAACCTGATGTTATCTAAGCTAAAGTTGACTTACACATGAAAAAAGAATTTCTTTAACTAAAATAAATTAGAATGGTGTAAATTCCATGCAGGAGAAATATTTAATGGATATAAATAAAAGATTCCAGTAAATATCAATGTTCATCTATAAATATTTACTGTAACTGTAAAAAGCTTTCCAGTAACTAACTCAATTTAGAAGTCTGTATTCTACAATCTGAACATTTTATTAATTTAAACATGACTTTCAATATGACTTAATGAACCTTTACTACATTTTAAAATGTAAGCTATGATATCACACTTTTTAAAAAGAGTAAGAACAAAGAAAAATGAGTAAAAACAATGATGATTAAATTATTAACTTTTAAACTATTGGACTTTTAGGTAATTCATCAAGTTGAATAAAATAAATGGGTTTAGGTCCATCTATAACCTCTCATTGTTAAGAGTTGTGCCTTGAACCATTTAGGTTAAACAAGAAGACAGACTTTGGTCAGGGAGCTGCTAACAGCGGCAACACATTAATCAACTAGAACTATCAACGTTTAACTATTTTATGCCTCCATCTTAAACTTCTTTCAAAGATAAGAAAGCAAAAAACTCACAGTTTAAGTTAGCTGAGATATTGTGCTTTTAAAATAATTCTATTGAATAATGTACATATTAAAGTGATGTATATCTTTGAGAAGAAAATAAAATATAACATTAATTTAGTGACAGCTCAAATTAAAAGTTAAAACAGTGAAGCAAATACATTTGTAAGATGAAAGACAGCTTATAAAGGAAGTTCTCATGGTAAATTTGATTTTATTTGCACACAAAAAATTTATAATTTTATTCACAAATGATCTCTTTAGTGCTTTGTTCAGTAAGAACATCGTATTGTCCTGAACTTCAGAGTCATAAGAAAATGACTACTGAAACAATACGAAAGGAGGTCAGTAGTTTTTAATTGTTACTAAAATATTCTGGTGGCAGACATAACGCTGTAGCCTTTCTTCACTGCAAAACCATACGGCAGCGATGAACTACGGCAACAGCATGGCTGGCAGCTGTGAGTTCCCAGAGCAGACAATGCAGCGCCGCCTGGGTGCGCACTGTAACTGACCTGCCCGCCTGTCCTTGCTCACCAGACTGAATAGACAAACAGACTTGACGTTTAATTCTGCCACACCATCTAAAACCCTCAAAGAGAGGAAGAAAGATAAGAGCTTTCAAATAGCAATGTTTCTTGGTATACTGCCCAAGTTTTCAAGATACTGTGAATCCCACTGTACCATTATGACAAAACAATAATTTAATGTGTAACAAAAAATGCTATCAAGTAATAGAAAAATAGAAAAAAAGTAAAAATAGAAAAAATAGGGATAGATTTTATTGTTTTACTTGTAATAACAACAAAAAATGTAAAGAGATAATGTTTAACTCAATTTACAATGACACGTGACCACCATGTGATAAACATATTCCTATAAATCACAGGGGAAAAGTTATTCTACCAATTGATAGTCCAAGTTAATCTTAATGTAACTCATATCATCCATAGGCTCAAAAGCATCAAAATACATTTAGTATTCATAATGTAAAGACAGAGCATTTCCCTCCACCTTGCTACCTTTTATGGACCTTCTCAAAAGATTATCAATATAGCAGAGTTATTAAATTAGATTTAATACTGTTTCAAATAGTGAAATAATCATGATCACATTTTAAAATGGAAAAAGTGGTATTATTTATATTGGTTGCCGAAGACCAAGCATCAAAACTAAAATTTAATAAGTAGTATTGTATAGATTTAGAAATATCATTTGGTAATCAGAAAGACTTAAGTTTGAGTCTCCATCCTTGGTATGTTTTTATTGCTAAGAAAATGTGATGAAATAGTAGCTCATGGGGAACTGTGCTGATATCCCTAAAACTTAACTAATTGTAAATCACTTAGATGATTGTTTTTAAAAACAAAGTACAGGTAACGCATAAACAATATTATTCCATCAATTTAACAGTTTATTCAAATTATAACCTATTCAAAATCTCCAAGAAATTAGTATAAGAAATTATTTAAGAGATTGTTTATTTTTTTTTACCAATTCAAATTCTTGACAAAAATTGTCCATTTTAAGGTTAAGCACAGACACACAGTCAATAAACATTCATTGAGCACCTACTATGTGCAAGGCACATGGGATACAGTACCAGTCCTTGAGGAGATCACAGTCTAAGCTGAGAAAGACACAGGTTTAAATAGAAGGTGGTGGGCTTCGTAATCAAAATATATAAAAGGAGAGAGATGGTAGAAAGGGAGTGACACCTTCAAAAGTCGAATTTAAGTCACTGAACAGCCAATTAAGAATGGCACTGTTACTGTACATTCAACCCTTTGTATTGCAAATTCCACATCTGTGGATTCAAACAGCTGTGAGAAAATACTTGGGGGGGGACATGTTATGTTGTTGCTGACATATAACATCAGTGTAATAACAGTGGTAGTTAGGCCTAGCACCATTGCCTCTGTATTTAACATGTACAGACCTTTTTTCCTGTTATTACTCCCTAAATACAGTATGACAATTATATGCATAGCACTTACATTTTATTAGGTATTATAAGTAATCTTTACAGATGATTTAGAGTATGTGGAAGAATGGGCATAGCTTACATGCAAATACTTTTATGTAAGGGACTTGAGCACCCAAAGATTCCAGCAACCTAGGGGGTTCTGAAACCCATTCTCTGCAGATACAGAGGGATGACTGTACACTGTTTGGTAATATCAGGGAGTGACCAATTTTTAAGACAATTTCAAAGAAATTAACTCTTCACTGACAACTGGTTAGTAGGACTAAAGAAACACTCTAAGTTATAGTTCAAACAAAGTGGGATAAAAAAATAGAGCCACCCTGCCTAGTAACATAGTACCACCTACGACAAGCATACGAGCACTGATTTTCACATGGTTGGTTTACTAATATTAATATAAAGCTTAAAAATGTATTGACCTTGAAGGGAAATAGGATTTCAGCCATTATGACAATTATGATTGACAGGGGCTGCCTACAGTACTATGTTAAGAATGACGCTGAGGTTGAATCCGGACTCAGCAGAACTGTTATGAATAATTAGCAATGTCTGCTATGAATAAGAAAGGGGAGAAATGGAGGGTATGGCCTGTGCATTTGACATTTGTAATATCTTGAATTTTCTCTGAAAAAAATTGTATCCTATTTGTACAGGACCCCACAAAAAAGCTGAATTTAACTAGTTTAATATTAAAGTCAACAAACAATCAACTAAGGAACTGGATTACAATAAACTCTCTTTAGAGAATCCACCCAGTCCATAAATCATTCCTTCTTTTCTGAGAAACATTCCCTGATCCGGGACTCAGGCACCCCAGTCTGCCAGCCAGAGTGCCTGATCCCTGACTGCATCCTAATCAACATGGGATAATGAAGTCTCTCTCTCAGGAATTTAGAATTGGGATTCACAAATAGCCAGTTTTTCATATGTGCAAAACTGCAAAATGTAAACTGTGATGGTCATGTGCTACCACTGAACCAGAGAAGCAGAGAAGCTACTCAGTCTGCGGAGCAACGAATAAAGAAAACCTACAGAGCCAGAAAGAAAAGTAAACAAGAATACTTTCTGGATTCCTGAGAACCTTCCTTTCCCAGCTAAATCCCCCTTCAACTGGATCCCTTTTTTCATTTTAGGCTAGTCCAAATTGATTCCTGTTAATTAAAGCCAAAGGGCATTAACTAATAAAGGATAATAGGGGTTGCGAGAGAGTGAAAGAAAATAATTTTATAGAAGAGTCGAAAAAAGGGGGGGAGAAGAACAAACAGAATAATTAGAAAAAAATCAAGTGACGTCTCAACCACACATTAAAATTACCATAGAAATTAATTCTTTCAGCTCCATACTCTCTCTTTAAAGAGTGTATGTGATAAACGTAAAAAAACCTGACCTTCACCCTGACCAATGTGGCTCTGTTGGTTGGGCATCATCCCCGTTAAGTTCCTGCTCAGGGCATAGGACTGGGTTTTGGCTTCAGTCGCCTGTCTGGGCGCGTACAAGAGGCAACCGATCAAATGTTTCTCTCCCTCTCTTTCTCACTCCCTTCCCCCTCTCTAAAAATAAATAAAAATCTTTAAAAAAAGGAACCTGACCTTTGTTTCTTCTGTCCTCACTGCATCCAGCAGATAATGCAGAAGCTCCTGACTGTCCTGTTGTTGAAAACTTTTAAATCGAGGGGCTCTATGATTTAAAAACAAAACGGGAAAGGGAAAAAAAGGAATAATCATTTCATCAACAATACATTACTAATATTTAAAATCACTTTGAAATAACATGTAGTCAAAGATTAAATTTACTTCTTTTTCTACTAAGTTGAAAGACAAAATGTGATTACTGTTTCAATGAGGATGAGATCTTAAGTGTATTGAGAACAATATGACTATCATTTTATCAGGCAACTACTACATGCCAAACACATACATTAAGCTTTACATATGTAAAAGTTACATAATCCTCAAACAGAGTAGAATTCACTATTTTCTCCAGTTTAGATATGAGTGCTCAGGGGGATTATTTAAATAATTTGCCAGGTGACAGAGCAAGCAAAAGAATGGTATTCAAACCTAAGCCACTGTTATAATATTCCTACCTCAAAATAACCAAAAGAAAAGCAAATGACATTTACATTAAAAACTATAAACTGGTATCTCTGTGAATATATTTATTTTGAAGATCTGACAGGTTATGTGTATTAAAAAATCAGGTGCTATTCATAGAGACATCAACACAACAAATGTTTATATTTGATTTCAGTAATTTCAGTTGATTTCTAGCAATAAGATCCAAGGCTAAATGAACATTTTTGCCTAACTGCAAACAAGTTCTAAATTTAGGAAGTCTGCTCTAAGATGAAGAAAAAACTTTGTCAACATAACACAAAATACTAAGAATATTTTATGTAGTAGAAGACAGGTTTACAATGGTCTCATCATGGTATGGTATAGCATACAACATACCTCATTTGATATACATAACAGTGCTATTAAGGAATTCATAATTAACATGAACTGCATTTTACACTTGAGAAAACTAAAAACAAGCTGAGAGCCACTGACATAAATCCAGGCCTTCTGATTCTTGAGTTCAGTACTTTAGCATTATTCCTCATTATCTCAGGATAAACAATCCTTCCAGCAATACACTAATGTGAGGCCCTGGTCCTAAACCAGCAGTCACTCCAGCCTATAACAGGAACCATCATTTCAGTTACCACTACTCAGTCTTGCTAAGCAGCAGCATGATGTTGAGAACACTTTCATTTTCTCCCCAGAGGGGCTTCCCTTTCTGCATGTGGTGGGGTATCTACCTCCTAGTTCAGAGGCAAGGACAGAAACCAAGATAGACACAAATTCCAGCCCTATCTGGGCCTCCACAGGTGGAATCCACTCAAGGCAGAAGTTGCACAGCACTACACTGATGCCGTAGGTATTAGAAAAGGTCCGTGGGGTGGAAGAAGGCTGGAGGAGGAAGCAGGGAAATCCTTCAGAGCTCCTCACCAGTCAGGGGACAGGTAGGAGGAGCCAGTTATGGCTTTCAAAGCAGTCACACAGGAAGGAAATCAGTCCTGAACAGAGCAGGAGCTGTCCCCACCATGACTCTGCCTAGAGCTCCATCTCAACCAGGCACAAAGCACTTACTGCCTTCCATACCACTGAAGAACACTTAAAAACCTGGATTCTTCTCCTTCTTCCTTTACCTAGGATGGGGGAAAAAATCATATGATGACTTATGGCATCTCTAACGGAGATTCTGGGCTACCAATACCAAAAGGGATCTTCAAGCTTAAAGGACTAAAAAAAAATAAAAGTCACCAAATATATGAAAAGATTCACCCCATTCAAAATAAGAGAAACTCTACACAGTCACAGGAAATGTACCTCAGTAAAAGTGTTCCTGTGGGAAAGAGGAGGGAACTTTTAAAACCGTCAAATTGTTACAGAAAAATGTATGCATATTCATGTAACAGGAATAGACTATCAAAAAAAGACCAATCAGTCCATTCATAATCCCCAAACTCTCTCAACTCAAACATAACAAATGCAAAAAGATAAAACAAAAAAGGACTTAAGTGAGATTCAATTTTTAAAAAAGACAAAGCAAAAATAGAACTTAAAAAGGACAAAAAAAAAAACAGAACAGTCTTTACGGGCTCTGGGCCTGAAAAGGCTCAGACCTGAAGTGTGAACAAAACTAAAGTACTCACACTTCAGACAAGGGGCCAGACCCAGACTCATTGTTTAAGGATGACTAACCTTCCCAAGAGCCTGAAAGAAAGCCTTTGGGACAAAGTCACCTGAAGCCACAACAGAACACAGTCTACAGACCTGCAGCTGACTCAGGCCTTCCACAGACTCTTCTCACATCCCCAAAACCAAGGTAGCAGTCAGGTAACTGTGAACCATTAGGAGACCTGGATCTCCAAGGCCAGTTTGTAGGACAGGTGTGAAGCTATCTTAATGTTTAAAATTTTTAGTCAGTGAGGATGGAGGTATGAGGAGGGAGAGGTGCTAGGAGTGGTAGGAAAACAAGGAGGAGAGAAGTGGGGGATAGCAAGAAGAGCTAAGGTGGTTGAGGACTACAAACAAAAAAATCTGTTCTGAAGGAGCCTACAACACAAAACTGTCAAACACATAAAGAAATATAATGTTATAAAGTCAACAATTGAAATAAATTTACTTAACTCCAAATAAATTACATAGAACCGCCCCAAAGATGTTATAATAAATATGTTGAGAATGTCCAAAAACGTACAGGCATAACTGCCAATAAAAGCCTACAAAAGCCTAAATGAACTAAGAACATGTACAATAGATATTAATAAGATAGACAATTAAAAACACTAGAAATAAGACAATAAAACCACATGTAAGAGTACAAAAGATAGGATAAATATTAAACATTGGAAGGGTGAATTAGTAAATTAGAAGATAAAACTTGAGAATATACCCAAATACTACAGTATACTGTATTTTCATTTGATCTAGAGAATTTGGTTGTACTCTTTAAGGTACCTGACACACCACAGAATACTCGTAAGGTAAATCTAGCATAGTATGTGCAAGATTTGTATGACTAAAACCACAGAACTTTGATGAGAAAAATCAAAGACCCAATAGCTGAAAAGACGTGTCATAATCACGCATTGGAAGACTCAACATTAAGATGTCACTTCCCTCTAAACTGAGCTGTACATTTAATGCAACTCCAGTTGAGAAACTAATTCTAAAATCCATATAAAAGAACAAAGGACCTAAAATAGTTTAAAAAAAAACACGAGGAAAGCTTGAGGACTCATACTACCAATTCCAAGACCTAATATGAAGCTACAGTAATCAAGACATTACAGTACTGGGGTAAGGATAGATACATACAACAATAGAGTTCGAAACTAGACCCAACATATTTGACTTAAATCTTCACTGGACTTCTTTAAAAATCACTTTTCTTAATATGCAATTTTTGTTAAAGTAAACATAACAAAGTGCTGGGAACCACTCTGTATGGTTTCCGAGATGTAGCCCCACAAGAGCAAGCCCTGAAAGGGGCTAGTAAGTCTCCCTGGAAAACCAAGTGAAAACGCAGGTGGCAGACATAACTTGACTAACATCAAGGGTTCCCAAGGGAATCAGGCCTGATAAATACATTGTATCCTTTGAAGCCTGCTCTGCTTTGTTTTGCATAGCCCTGGTGACATAAACCGGATGTTTAAGTTCAAGGCATAAGGAGTAAACTCTGGCATCAGCATGACTAACAGACCCTGACCTGTGACAGATCTCTGTGTTCCTTCTATTATTATCTACAGACAATACCTGTTTTTGTACGACGATAGCCTTTTTGATATTGATTGAAGAGCTATGCACGTATGCTGTATACACTACACGTACCATTCCCAATAAAAGCCGTTTGGGAGAAGGGCTCAGGGCGTTCTCCACTAGACAGAATTGCCACCCAACTAGAGGGAACTGCCACCCCCTTTTCCACTGGAACAGCAAGATTGTGTTCAGGACAGCTTCTTTACCATCCACAGTGGATGGAAGGATTCTGCAGGCCAGAGTTCCTCCCACAATGAAGCAAAAGAAAATGCAGTTTTTTAATGTTTTCAAATAATGTTCCACCCAGTAATTCTATTTGTCCTACAAATGAACTCTCACAAGTACAACAAGATGTATATACACACATTCACGCATCAGTAGGTTCACAGTTGTTCATATGGAAAATAATACAACAGTTAATAAATAATAATACAAGAATAAACTGTTTTGCATACTCACAACTGTAAACCTACTTTTTTCACCCTATATACACATATGTAAAATCAAGTAAGTTATATTCACATGTATTATATGGAAAGGTATACAAGATACACTAAGGAAAACAAACAAGTTTCAGATAATTTTTATATGCCTATATATATATATATATATAATTACTTCTAAAAAGAATAAAAACACAATACTAGTTTGAATTATGTATGAGCATATCTAATAATAATTTTTAAAAGTTTATAAATCCTTATAAAACCAGAAAAAAAAGATGTAAAAAAGGTTATTTTGGATAGAGTCTAAAAACAAATTTCTAAAGTACCTAATATCCTAAAAAATTCCTAACTTTTTGAGGTACCCATGTCTCTGAAAGTTTTCAGGGATTTTTGTTGTTGTTGTTGTTCCTCAGGCTTTGAGAAAACAGCACTTGCCAAGCAAATGAAACATGCAATATACACATTATATTTTTTACTACATTTTATGGTGGCACATTATGCTCAGTGAAATAAGCCAGTCACATAAAGGCAAATAATGTATGATTCTGCTTATACAAGGAATCTGAAATAGTCAAATTCATGGAATCAAAGAATGGAATGGTCCTTGTGAGGGGCGGGAGAGAGGTGAAAATGAGGATTGCTAATCAGTGGGCACACGGTTTCAGTCAAGCATGATGATAAGCTCCAGCCCTGGCTGGGTACTCAGTTGGCTAGAGCGTCATCCTGATACACCAAGACACAGGTTCGATCTCCAGTCAGGATACATATAAGAATCAACCAATGAATGAATGCCTGGAGGAGTGGAACAACGAATTGATGTTTCTCTATCTCTCAATCTCTCCCTCTCTTTCTGTAAAAGGTCAATCAATAAATTTTGTCTTAAAAAGGTGAATAAGTTCCAGAGATATGCTGCACAACAGTGTACCTACAATCAATAATAATGTATTATACACTTAAAAATTGTTTAAGAAGGTAGAGCTCATGTTGTATTCTTTCCACAATAGATCAAAAAAAAAGAAATTAATGTTGGCACAATACTATGAGGTAAAATATAATAAAACACAATACAATGCCATGCCACAAATAACAAGCTTAAATTAAAATGAAATATTAAAGGTTGTAGGTATACAAAAATGCCAGTTTATATTTAAAGCATTTTGTTTCTACATATTTTAGTTCATTGTGGACTGAGTTTATAAGCTCCTGGATTGTAGCAAGTACTGACAACAAAGTAAACCCTCAATTTTTTAGATGAAGGAAAAAAATACATTAAAGCTAAGTCAGGACCTATATGGCATGTGTTTATTTTCAGGCACTCAAAGATTTTGTTTTTAAACATACAGTAATATCTTAAGAAATTCTTTAAATGCTATCTGCCTCGAAGAAAAGATGCTAGCTCATCTTTTAAAGGAAAGAGACTAGATAGATGATCCTTTTAGATTTTACGACTCTGTAATTTGCTTACTTTGCTGTCGCACACCACAGGCTCTGTGTCAGGCCAGACCTCTATCTGCGGCCTGGCTCTGTCACTATGAAATGAAGTAAAGCCACTCGACTTCTATGAGTCTCGCTTTCCTTACAGAGAAAACTGGGATAAATAATCACCTCTTTGGAGCATTGCAAGATATAATTTCCATAAAGCACAGAGCTGCAACTAAATAATGTTAACTCTTTCTCTTGGTAATCTAGGCAAAATAGCAATGCTATAGTCAGAGTGAAAGAACTCATTAAGAATAAATACAACAGTATTTTGTAACTTATGATTATTTATATTAAAAATATAGGTGCACCCACTTCTGACATAGCTGACTGAAAAGAGCTTTAGGAGAAAGCGGTCCTTTTCCAGTTTCCTTCATGCTGTGAAGAAACAGGATCAAGGCTGAGGTCAGCGGGCCAGGGCTTGAAAGTTCTACCGTTAACGGATCCTTTGAAAACATGATCAATGCTAGGTCAGAAATATGTAGTTTATTATTTATAGTCAAACAGTTATATTTTATTTAAATGATGACAACTCACTTGCTTCAACTGTATTAAGAAACTTCATTCTCTCATACATAAAATATATCAAAATTAAAAAATGGAATTATCTTGAAAAATAAAGGTATAATCATATCATCTGCCTTTTACTTAATAAAACTAGTACCTTGGGGGAAGAGGAAAAAAAAAATGTACTTGAAAAGTAACCAAATTAAAAAAAAAAAAAAGTACTTGAAAAGTAACCAAATAAAAAAAAAGAAAAAAGAAAAAAGAAAAAAAAATGTACTTGAAAAGTAACCAAATAAAAAAAAAGAAAAAAGAAATAAAATAAAATAAAATAAAACTAGTACCTTAAGAATGAAATAATCAATCTTTAGTTGCTTGTAACTGACCCTTAACTGTCTCCTAAAAGTAAAATTATTCATCTACTTGATATTTATACCCTTTTACAAATAATCATAAGTTATATTTATTAGCAAAACTCTATACCTTTCCTTTCCCCAAATATTCTACTATTAAGTAAGGAATGGGAAATTATGTCACCAAATCAGTACACTATCTCTCTCTTTTAAAGGAAAGAGACAAAAGCTTGACAAAAGAAGCTTAAATTGTGTGAAGAATCAATACACTTTATTTCGGAATTTTTCCCACCAGTTTTGTTTTCTAAAATATTAATTTAACTAGTAACCTCTCTCTCTTTATGGACAATAAATGAAAAGCAGATTCCAAATATAATCCTCAAACCTTAGAGTATGTTATCTTCTAAGAAAACTATCAAATATACTGTCTCATTCATGTATTCATGATATACATGTTACATATATGTTTCATACTATCTATCCTTAAAAATCCACCATCTGGCTAAAACCATGGTGTTGGGAACCGCTCCTGGTTTCAGGAGTTGTAACTGCCCCCCATAGATAAGGCTGAGTGAGCGATATTTTGAAAGCAAGCCACTAAGGAGACAAAGCTTGTCTCTGCTTCATTCCCAGCCCCCAATGCTTGGTCAGTTAGTCTATGACAGGTAAGACCCCTCAGAGGGGGGGCAACGTAAGCCAGACATGATCACTTGGGAGGCCATCATGGATGGACCTGGGGGGCTGCAACAAAGAGGTAGTGATGGACCCTTGCCCCCCGGCTATTCTGACACAGCCCGAGTTTCCATTTCCTCTGGGAGAAGTGCTTCCTGCCTCTAATCCACTTAGGCCTAAACCCTATGATGGGGTAGGCGGCACAGCCCCTTTTGAGCTAGAGGGGGATTGGGGGTGATCAGGCATAAGAAAGAGTTCCTGAAGTCTTGTGAAGCCTGCTTTGCTAAGAGTGCTTTCATTCATATGATAAGGGTCTGAGCAGGAAATGAGTATGTCTCCCAAAGTTTCTGCAATCCACTTTCCTGACAGACACTGACTCAGACTAAGCCCTCAGATTTCTCTGAAGTGTTATCTACTGTTCGATCCTTACTGCCTGTATTCCTGTGTATTACAACCCAATAAAAGTCATTGAGGAAGGGGCTCTTGGCCTTTCTCCTCTGAGAGATTGGCCACCTCTTCTCCCCAAGCAGATCGTGTCTTGGTAGTTTCACTTTCATCCATGGTGGATGGGGGGACTTGCAGGCAAAGTTGCCGCCACACCATGGAAAAGACAGGTTATAATTTTCCATAACTTTTGAATATCAGAAGTGCTTTCTGCCATGTTAAGTATATTGAAGGTTACCTCAAGAGTCAAATGCAAAATCTAAGGCAGTTTCAAAGTCCAAGCACTAAAGTATACTATCCCCCACTCCCAAATAAAGCATTTTTAGACCAAGTAGAAAATTTTTCAGAATAAGCCAGTAAATAAGCTTGGTTTTAAAAGCACATTTTAACTTTGAAAACAAAACTAAGTTTGCTGATGAGAATGTAATGATGCAATAATGAATCTCACAAACATGTTGATAGAAGCCAAATGCAAAACAGTATATTTTATATTATTTCATTTACATATAATATTAAAACAGGCAAAACTAATCTGTCCTGCTGGCTACCAGGTTAGGGGTTATTCCTGTCAGGTCAGAAGATAGTGAATGGAAGGCAACCTGAAGGAGGCTTCCAGCTGCTGGTAATGTTCTGTTTCTTAAGCAAAGTGTTGGTTAGTTTCAGTTCAGTGTATTCACTTTCTGAAAATCCATCATCTATACAAATATGATGTATACTCTGTACAAATAATTTAAGAAAAAGTTTGTTAACAGTAAGCACACTGCTGAGATGCATACAAATATTAACAAGTTGAACCCAGCAACATATAAGAATAATACATCACAGCTAAGTGGGGTTTGTCCTAGGAATGAATACCAGATAGGTCTGAAAATCAATCAGTGTGATTTGCCACATCAGCATAAAGAAAACCATATGATAACCTCAGCAGATACAGAAAAAGCATCTGACAAAATTCAACATCCATTCATGACAAAACTCTCAGAAAACTAGGAATAGAAGAGAATATCTTCAACCTTATGAAGAACACATACGAAAAACCTACAGTTAACTTCATTCTCAATTATAGGAAAAACTGAATGTTTCTGCCCTAGTTTGGTGATTAATGTCTGCTCTCATCACTTCTATTCAATATATTACTGCTGGTTCAAGTCAGCATGATATGGTTAAAAAAAAAGAAACAAAAGGCATACAGATTACAAAGGACAAAGTAAAACTGGTTATTGAGAGAGTAGTGATCTACACTGCTAGTCCCACAACTCAGGTCACCTCTGTCCTAAAAAAAAACTAAGTCCTAAGATTGATCAGCTCCAATATCTAACTGCCATATAGTAATCTTGAGACACTGATCCACATGTGAATAGTCAAACTTAACATTCAATCTCATTTCATGGGAAACCTTTTCAAACAAGTAAGTATTACCCTACACTCAGTAAAATAGTCTTCACCGTCTCATGTCACTTTAGAAAATGGCATTGGGATCTACCATAAAAATCTTAAGGGGCTGAACAGGCAATGACTTTATAGTCTGCTTTTCTGACAACAAAAAAAATACAATATTGTCTTTCAAAACTTCCTTCTTAGAAGAAAAATTTGAGATTACTACATTGGGTTAAGAATTTTTAGAACTCTTCTTTGATCAGTGTTTTTGAGAAACAGATCATGAACTACACAGGCACTCTTTCTTCCTATAAAACACAAATCAATTTCTACCTAAAATCAGTATTATTAGTGCCAATGCCCTCCAGGCAAAGACCACCAGGAACACAACAGCAGTTGAATGAGGTGGGATTACTACTGTACTCGGGGCACTGAGGGAGAACACGGGGAACCATGGGGTGTCTCAATAACAGGGTGTTTGAAAGAACCAATATAGGGTTTGGGCTCTAGTTGAGTGATTCAGTGAGGAGTCTAAGCTTGGATACTGTCAGAAAGCAGGGCTAATTCTATAATTAGATGTCTCAATAAACTTTATCTGTGGCTGGGGGAGGCAAGAATGAGGATAAAGCTACAACTAGTAAATAGACCTCAATCATTTAGGACGAGAGACAGGGTATTAGGGATTTTCTAACCTGCTCTTTGTGTGTATTTAGATAAAATCATGAAAGTGGGCTTGCTTTGTCTCATTTTGTCAGATTTAGAGTAACCTGGCCGGAGTGGTATTCCAAGAGAATGTTTGAATAACGTGGCCTAAGTACGGGTGCCAAATGTCCGAGGCTGCCTCTTTTTTTTCTCCTCATTAGCTTAAAAATCTGTTATCAGATTAGGCTTCAAAAAACCTTTAGATGTTCACTATTAAAACCAGATCTATCTTTAAAGACCAAAAATGCCATATTTAAGCAAATGCCACCAGTAATTACAAAACAGAAATCCTAGTTTTGATCAACAAAAGTCAAACTCTTCTTATTTCTAGTACATTTGCTTGAAAACTATCTCAGTATTGTTGTATCGTTTGACCCATATGTCTGAAACATATCTTAAAGTTATGACTTTGGAAGTTTTAAATCTGATTGTTAATTTTCACGAAATACTAGTGAATTATTTTTTCAAACCCTCCAACCACCACCTCAGCTGACAGTTCTGAGAAACAGGAAAGAGATTTTGGCAACATCAGTGGCCCTTCTTACCAGCTGAGAGTCTGATGAAGGAAAAATCTTGAGTTTTGTACCATTTTCTTTGATCTCACTCATCAGTTCAGTAAAAATGTAAGACTGTGCCAAGTTCTAAAAGAAAAAAAAAAGTAAAGTCTGCAGTTCAGGTATACTATGCCTCTGATTTTATGGAATAAATTACTCTCCCAAAGTTTCAAATTTAATCTAGCATAGCAAAATATTTTTAAGTTACAAAACTTAATTGAATATATTTTACATTTAATAAATGTCACTATTACTGACAGAGCCATGATAAAGTACAGAAAAAACATTTAAGATGCACTGTAGAAAAAGGTTTATGAGTGCGTGTGACAATGGCTTAAAAGAGCCTAAAACAGACAAAAAGAAAACAGATTTCTAGATGAACATTTAGCAGTCATTTGACAGTCTGCAGGAGTGCAAACAAATATAAATTAATTAAAATTATCTTTTATATTTTACAAAGCTTTCTGATGGCTCTTACCTGCATAACTGCATTAAAAAAACAAGTATTTCCTAAATTCATAATTCCCTTTACAGATGTTACACAGCTGCCTTTTCTTCCCTTCTGTTTTTCACCTGTTTCACATTTTTCTTCACAAAATTTTATAATTTTGGAAAATGCACCTAAGTTAGAAAAAAACATAACTGACATGAAATGTAAAATTAAATATATATCATTTGACATAACTTAAATACATTATTTGAAATTAAATAAGATGTTTCTCCTGGATCAATATTCCTAAAGGGCAAAGAGACAAACACAAATAAATGTCTTGAGTAAAGCAATTAATTTTAATTCATTTTAATATACACATCTACACCTCACACCACACTGCAGAATAAATTCCAGATGAATTAAAAAATTAAATGCAAAAGAGTGAATTAAAAAGAGAAGCACAAAAGATGCAGATCACGGTTCCTAAATACCATTCCCAACTATAAGGAATGTAGACCCCTTGAAGAGGCTGATTCTGAACATGGGGCAGCCGAGAGGCAAAATGAGCCTATAAGATTATTACTGGGCCTGAAAAATAAGGTAATGCTCACAAAAAAAGTGATAAGTATCTTAAAATACACAGGAGCCATTTTTAACAGGTTCCCACTGTTCCAATACAGGGAAATTTGAATATCAAAATAAAGACGGGCACTAAATAGATTATCATTCACTGAACAGAAGGAAAGTGATACTGAATTGATAATTTAAAAAAGCAAATCACCTTATATTTCTATTATTCTTGCAACATTTCTGCATTTGAAATTTTCAACTAACAAGTTAAAAAAGTAATAGAATTATAATATAAAAGATAAAATACCTAAGCATATAGTACATAAGTACATGTTTTGGGCTTACTAACTTATATAATTAATACAAATTTGTTAATTATAGTATGTTTAATATCAGTCTGAAAATGAACAATTAGTAACATTTATGAACTAACATGATTAATTATATCTATTTAACAGCAGATTGCTTTCTGAATCATTATTATTTAAAGTTGGACAGGAGATTCCCAAGTTCTCAAATTTTTTGGTTTTTAACTGAATGTTCTTTTAAATTCAATTCCTTTCAACCTCAGGTTGTGTAGTCCTCTACAATTACATTACATAATTTATTCATGTAATACTGACATGCTGCCATGCACTGCTAATTAACTTCTAAATGTTTGGCAGTTTGCCCCTCCAATCAGATTACTGAAGATTAGGGAATGTCTCCTATGACCGTTTTTTTTCTTCCATAAGGGTATGATATTGGAGAGAACATACATTATAAAAATTCAACGTCAATGAAAACCTACAAGATTAAGCAGAAAGTACAGTAGACTTGTAGCCCTCCATGTCTCTGATGAGCTCTTAAGAAGAAATAAATTAAGACAGCCCCTCCCCACCCAGCCCTTCCGTACAATATTAAGGGAGGTGACAGGGGTAGGAGAGTGGGGGCGTAGAGGTAGCTCTAGTCTCAGGAGGGAGCAAGGCACAAACACCACAAAGAAAAACTTGAGTCCTGGCAAACTGATGTCAGGCACACGCTGTTGGTTCAAACAAAGCTTGATTTGGCATCTTTGACTTTTGCCCCTCCCCGGCAAGGCATCTAGAGACAGGGCTCCAGTATCAATTAAGTGAGATTATTAACACATTTGCTCATAGACTTTTCATAGGGATTAAACAAGCTGCTATTTACAAAGTACCTGGCATGGTAAGCACTACTTGTGTGAAAAACAGTCCAGAGAGTCTACCAGAAATTGTTATTTGTGCCAAAATCAGTATCTTCATGAGCTAGCCCTTCATGTCCATTGCTTATCTGCTCCTTTTTTTCTCTTTAATCATTTTCTGTACTGAGTTTTTTTCTCAAGTTTATGTCTTATTTCTAATTGGATTTTCTGAATTGCTAATATGAGTTTTTCCTTTTATATTGACTGTGGTTTTCATAATTTCTTAGCTTTTCTTTTTAACATGTGAAACTATTTTATCTCATTGAGAAAAATGAGTTGGTGGTTTCTAAAATGTTTCTATCATTAAGCAAATTGATTGCATGAAAAAGATTTTTCTTTCAAGCCTTAACTTTTCTCTTACCCTATGACACAATATTTTTTCATAAACCCTATTACCTGCTTTTCCCCTTTATTCCTGTTTGCTTATTCTTTAAGCAAAGGATAAGCAAACAGGTTATTGGATGTCTGTTGTCCACATATTGAAGAATTGTTCTTAACTCCCAACTCTAGAATTCTAAGTTAACCCAGTGAAGAACAAGAAAGATCTCTTCCTTTGTCCTCTAGATATAACAGTAAGTGATAAGAATTAAACTCCATAAGAGAGTTTTGGAGCAAAAACTAGTACAATTAATGGAGAAGGTCACTGAAGTGCAGAGACCAGGCATTCGGAAAACAGAGAGCAATAAAAAGCCAGACAGTATTTAAATTTGCAAGTGAATGTACAAGCAAATGAGAAAAAAACCCATCAGTGTTTAAGAGGCACTAAACAAACAAGAAGCAGCCCCACTGTCATCCTGGCTGGGGTTGCAAATGAGAGTTGTCCACCTCTTTATTACTATATCTGAGATTGCAACTGAAAGCTAAAATTGGCAGGTTTCACTATAGCCATTGCCACTAGATGGTTTCATAGTGATTTATAAGAGATTTATGATGAAAAAGTCATTAAATCCACCTATTGTTTTACCTCTCAGCACAGGTTCTTACTCTGATTTTACATTTACAAAACTCAGTCTCCATCAGGTTAAGTAATTTGCTGATGGTCATAATGATAATCTTTTAATTATAAATCCATTGTTATTTTACCACCTAATTTCTCTTCAATGATTTATGTACAGTGAGAAAAACCATTAAAGAAAGTAGGGTAAGATTCTTACAGGTTTGGGTATTTGCAATCCTAAACAAATATGACTCTTCAATAGTATTTTCTTTAGTTGACATTCTTAATAAATGTTGCCATAACATTTTTTAGCTTATTAACATGAGAACAGAGTGGCTGGGAGAGCTAAACTATATAGATATTAGCTATATAAAATATGTATTACATGTATACATCTATTATTCACTTGGGAAAATACTTTCAGAAAAATTTTAATTGTATAAGAACAAATAACATTTTAAAACCATAACACATAACTGATTTATTTATCTGTGTACCACATTTCCCATCAGTTTTCAAAACATCTGGGATAGCATCCTAAAGTAAACAATGTTCATAAGACCATCTGGACAAAACTTCAGGCAAAAAAAAAAGCATAAACATATGGAAAAACAGATTTTACTCTTCCCTTCAGCAGTAAGGGATGACAAATGTCAAGCCTAGACATATCCACGCTTCACTGTGCGATGCTTTGCAGCACCACCTGGCTCTCCAAGCAGAGCCACCAAATATGGACAGCTCTGCCAGAAAGAACATATCCACAGGCAAGAGCAATAAAAATAGTTTATTTCATGGTTAAATAGGCACTTCACACAAGTGGCAAGGATCTATTTGTTGACTTTTACATGTAAGTCTGTGAGAACAGATTCAAAATAAATTATGCTATTGGACTTGAATATTAAATAGATCAGATAATTTAACAAAAAATAAAATGATATTTTCTAAGAACTATTTGTTTTGTTTAAAGTGCAAGTTTTTCATTTTACTGAATAGCACATTTATAAAATGTGACAGTTCAAATTCAATTGATTTATCAAATGTCCATTAAACCACTACCTATATATATTCAACTGCATATGATTTATGACTACAGAATAAGGAATTGATACACAGTGAACAGCACTGAGATATTAAGCCTTAAATTCATGACAATATCTTACTAAAACTTTAGAAACCAAGCATACATTTACATTTGCTCACTAAGAGACTCAAATGAAATTTAAGATTCTAGATTAAAACCAGGGAGTTTCAGAATCAGCCTCTCAATTATTTGACATAAAAACAGGTACATGTTTTAATAAGAAGCAATCCATTACTTCTATTAAAGAATAATTACTGATTATTTTGTTTTTAGAAACAACAAAGCTTTCTCATTCTGGCAGTGATTTTAGATCTTATTCACTTTAAGAACCAAATGCACTATACTTCCAAATGTTTTGAAGTACAGAATAATTAAAAGGACAAAGCTGCTACAGCAATAACAAAATACAAATTATACAAAATTCTGATTATCACTTGGTTTGTTCTCAAGTTTTACCTGAACCCATGAAATGCCTATAATTAGAAAGAATTTTAGTGTTGGAAGATTATTTTATTAAAAGGGATTTGCTGTCTTACCTTTATATTACCAACACTGTCATCAGTCATTGCATTCATGTGATCAAGTAACAGACACCAGAAGGTAAACCATATGAAGAGAAAAATTCAGGCATTCTAGATAAAATGTTTAAACTCGGTAGTTTACCTTTAATCCTATAATCTGAGTACTCAAAGAGCTACTGATTGAGTAACCTGATAAGATTTTTTGCATACTCAGGTTTTGCAAGACAGAAAATTGGTTGAAGCACCAGCAAAGCACTCACACAGACAAAAATTTGGTGGGTGTGGCAAAAATGACATTAAGAACTTCATTATTACCCTCAAACCCCTAAAAACTATAAACAAAGTCAAATATGAAAAAGCGAGTATTCCTGTCAACTATAACCTCTGTATAATCTTTCTGGAGGGTATTTTAACACCAGTAATTAAAATTTAAGACATGTTTATAAATTGGCCAAAAGCCCCCCCCCCCCAAATTTAACCTATAGAAATAAAAGAGCAAGTACACAGCAATGCATCTTTTCTTATCATGGGAGGAAATTGAAAACAACCAATAGTGGATGTGGTGCCAAGTAATATTAAATGTCTACTTTCTCAAAGGTATAAATATTTGTAAATTACTTTTGTTAAACCAGAAGGGGAACAATAGTGCTTCCCAAATTTCCCATAGGTATGGGGAAGGTAAACATATTTGGCAGTTTGCTTATTCAAAGAAAGAGATCGAAAGTGTTATCTCCTCTGATAATTGTCTCCATTGCAGACAGATGATGAAATCAGCTAGTTAGTAACAGTAAATTCAAAACTTGGCAGTCTGGCTTCAGACTCTACACACTTAAACATTATAATCTACTATGTGTGTAAAGGAGTTGACATGACTA